GTCCTCACCCACAGACCCTCTCCCCACTGTCTGAAGTGGCCAGGAGGGAAAGGCTGCACTTCTTTCAATACCCCAGATCCTTTAATAGCATCTTGCTCCCTGAACTTTGGTTTTGCCTACGAATTTCTGCAATCTGGCCCTGGCCCTGGCCCCAGTCACGACTGTGACCGTTTCTCCCACACTAACCCTCTGGATCCTGAAGTTAGCACAGTCCTCCCTGGAGCTGTCATCCAGAAGTTAATATACAAGTCAGTTAGTGCACAGACAGTGCTAAAACAGCAGCAACAGAGAACTGTAAAATAATTAGGGAGGGCTTTCAGGGTGGCAGCCCCTGAAAGGGTTCCCATTCCGCAGTCTGGCCCCTAAGCTGTGCAGGACAGAAGTTCAATTTGATCTCAGCTATGAGAGGCAACTCATGACAGCCACAACCATAAGAGATTCCTGTTTGTTGAGAAGAATATCCACCCCTTCCTAGATATTAGGATCATGGGGTGACAGAAAGTTGGTTGATGAAGATGGAATCAGACAAAATAGAATTTTGAGGGACTTTTCATCTGTCAAGCATGTGGCTGCACTGTTCCCAGAGCCCATCTCTTGGGCCCACCGGGCAGACTAGGCCATCCCCCTTCCTTGGTAAACCTTTCCCAGCTCTGATCATACCATTGATTTGGCTCCAGCATCTTTCACAATAGTCAAGCCTGAATTCAGTTTCAAATCCCTATCCTTCCTTCCTGGTCCTAGGAAACGTCTGACTCCAAGGCCTCTGAATATGCTGCTGGAGATCCCCCTTGATGGAGGACAGCCTAACACAGGCACTCAATGCTGCTTACAGAGCCAATGTGGCCCCATGGGTGACCAATTGGTGTCATGCCAGAAAAAACAAATTTAAGAAACATACTTTAAAAGAATCATGGCCTACGACAGTCTAGTACTGAAAAACAGATTCCAGTATAGTTAGCAGGTGAGCTGTGGCACTAATTCACCTGCCTGAAAGTGCTTATTAGATCATTAAAAGGGCAGTGAGTGAGTGAGGCAGTGTTATCCAGCAGAAGAGCGGGGACCAGAAGGATGAGATTGAGTGAATTGCCTCAAGGTGTTTTAGGGAGTGACTTAAGTTCTCTGAGGCTATCAAATGAACACAACCATGCTGGCTTCCAGTGTCTTTTTTTTTTTTTTTTACAAAAAAAAAATTTTTAATTGCATTTTAGGTTTTGGGGCACATGTGAAGAACATGCAAGATTATTGCATAGGTACACACATGGCAGCGTGATTTGCTGCCTTCCTCCCCATCACCTATATCTGGCATTTCTCCCCATTCTATCTCTCCCGAACTCCCCACCCCCCGCTGTCCCTCCCCTATTTCCCCCCCCGACAGACCCCAGTGTGTGATTCTCCCCTCCCTGTGTCCATGTGTTCTCATTGTTCAACACCCACCTATGAGTGAGAACATGTGGTGTTTGATTTTCTGTTCTTGTGTCAGTTTGCTGAGAATGACAGTTTCCAGGTTCATCCATGTCCCTACAAAGGACACGAACTCATCATTTTTGATGGCTGCATAGTATTTCATGGTGTATATGTACCACATTTTCCCTGTCCAGTCCATCATCAGTGGGCATTTGGGTTGGTTCCAGGTCTTTGCTATTGTAAACAGTGCTGCAGTGAACATTCGTGTGCATGTGTCCTTATAGTAGGACGATTTATAATCCTTTGGATATATACCCAGTAATGGGATTGCTGGGTCAAATGGAATTTCTATTTTTAGGTCCTTGAGGAATCGCCACACTGTCTTCCACAATGGTTGAACTAATTTACACTCCCACCAACAGTGTAAAAGTGTTCCTATTTCTCCGCATCCTCTCCAGCATCTGTTGTCTCCAGATTTTTTAATGATCGCCATTCTAACTGGTGTGAGATGGTATCTCAGTGTAGTTTTGATTTGCATTTCTCTAATGACCAGTGATGATGAGCATTTTTTCTATGTTTGTTGGCCTCATGTATGTCTTCTTTTGTAAAGTGTCTGTTGATATCCTTCACCCACTTTTGAATGGACTTGTTTTCTTCTTGTAAATCTGTTTTAGTTCTTTGTAAATTCTGGGTATCAGCCCTTTGTCAGATGGGTAAACTACAAAAATTTTTTCCCATTCTCTTGGTTGCCGATTCACTCTAATGACTGTTTCTTTTGCTGTGCAGAAGCTGTGGAGTTTGATTAGGTCCCATTTGTCTATTTTGGCTTTTGTTGCCAATGCTTTTGGTGTTTTGGTCATGAAGTCCTTGCCTACACCTATGTCCTGAATGGTTTTGCCTAGATTTTCTTCTAAGGGTTTTATGGTGTTAGGTCTTATGTTTAAGTCTTTAATCCACCTGGAGTTAATTTTAGTGTAAGGTGTCAGGAAGGGGTCCAGTTTCTGCTTTCTGCACATGGCTAGCCAGTTTTCCCAACACCATTTATTAAACAGGGAATCCTTTCCCCATTGCTTGTTTTTGTCAGGTTTTTCAAAGATCAGATGGTTGTAGATGTGTTGTGTTGCCTCTGAGGCCTCTGTTCTGTTCCATTGGTCTATATCTCTGTTTTGGTACCAGTACCATGCTGTTTTGTTTACTGTAGCCTTGTAGTATAGTTTGAAGTCCAGTAGTGTGATGCCTCCCGCTTTGTTCCTTTCACTTAGAATTGACTTGGCTATGCGGGCTCTCTTTTGGTTCCATATGAAGTTTAAGGTGTTTTTTTCCAGTTCTGTGAAGAAGGTCATTGGTAGCTTGATGGGGATATCATTGAATCTGTAAATTACTTTGGGCAGTATGGCCATTTTCACTATACTGATTCTTCCTAACCATGAACATGGAATGTTTCTCCATCTGTTTGTGTCCTCTCTTATTTCGTTGAGCAGTGGCTCGTAGTTCTCTTTGAAGAGGTCCTTTACGTTCCTTGTTAGTTGTATTCCTAGGTATTTTATTCAGAGACCACACAAGGAGAGAGCTCTGAATCCAGCTGATTGTCCATACATGAGAGTTGCTGTTGCTGCTGTGAAATTTAAACTTCTCATTTTCTAGACAGCCCACTTTGAATGGGACTCTTCTGAACTGTCTTAATTCTTGTTTCCTGGTGGCTGTGACAAGTCCAGCAGTGGCTTTTTAGCTTCTCCAGTCCATTTCTGTTCACAGAAAGCAAGCTATCCAGCATTATCTCAATAAAAGTATTTGTTTAGGTTTAAGTTTTCCACATTGACTTGTAGTGGTTGAACTAAGTGAATATTTTAAATTCGAACAAATTGTTTTCTGCAATTAAGAGATTGGTGGGAGTTTAAAAAGCTTGGCACAGTGGCTCACGGACAATGTCTCAGCACTATGGGAGGCCGAGGCGGGAGGATTGCTTGAGGCGAAGAGTTCAGGACTAGCCTGGCCAACATAGCAAGACCCCATCACAACAGAAATAAAAGATAAAGGTAAATTAGCCAGGTGTGGTGGCATACGCCTGCAGTCGGAGCTAAGCTACCCAAGAGGCTGAGGCAGGAGGATTGCTTAGGCCCAGGAATTTGAGGCCAATATGATTATGCCACTGTACTCCAGCCTGGGTGACAGAGCAAGACCTCATCTCCAAAAAAAAATTAAAAATTAAAAAAAAAGAAATATAATTCTGCAGCTTAAAATTTGGGACACATGTCCTGTAGAAATAATATTATTCTAGTGGCCAGTGTCCCAGACTGCCCACTGGTTTAAGCCTTGAACTCTACAATAGGGCTTTAGTGCATATGAATCACCCAGGATCTCGTTAAAATGCTGAAACAAATTGGGGGCGGGGGGAAAAAGGGACTGACAGTTGACATTTCTAACAGCTCCTGGTGGTGCCCATGCTGCCCATCTGGGACACAGTTTGTGTAGCAAGGATGGGGTGGGAGAAACTGGCATTAGGTGGGGATGAGAACAGTGGGTGAGGCATTGGCCTAGACGGGGCAGAGGGAGCGGGGCTTCTAGTGAGGCAAAGGAACAGGACTGCAAGGATTGGAGGAAATGGGGAGAGGGCTCCTGGCTGGTGTAACTCCCAGGCACTTCTTGGCCACTTCCTGGCCATCATCTCTCCTGGCCCTGGTGTTTGCCAGGCTGCCCTCTCCACCTTGCCCCCTCACCCACCCAGGGTCCCTAAACTCTCCCACCCAGCCACAGAATCTGGCCTTCCCTTTGTTCTCAGAGCTAGCATGCTCTGCAGAAAGACTCGTCGTTTTTGTTTTATTTATTTATAATGTCGTACCCAAACAGAAGAAAGAAACCCTCTTTAAATGAAGTGCATTTTGGTAAACAGCCTGGGAGTCCTAGGTCTGACTTCTCCAGCCCCCTCTGTTTTTGCTTAGATCCTCTGAGGAACTGCTAAGGACCACAGAGATAGGGATGGCTGGTCTTTGACTACTCCAAGATGGGGCTGACCCACACACGCCCACCCGCCTCACCAGTTGCTCCCCGCTTTCCACCTTACGTTCTCCATGTCCTCTCCCTGGAGGACTAGGAATTTTGCGGGCAGGACTAGAAGTAGATTCGTCTTCATATTCCTGCAGTGCACACACAGACTTGGGCGAATGTCAGGAAGAATGGGAGGAGAAAGCCAGAGGGGTGGGAGAGGAAGAAAGGATTGTCATGGAAGTGAGCAAGGAGGAGAAGCCACTTGAAGTGAATTTGTTTTCAGTCGTACTTGGCCAGGATGCATCCTAGCAGTGGTGTGAGAGCTTCCTGCTTAACTGGGCCCACCTGGGTCGGTCATGTATGGTAGGTGGGGGATGGATCCACGTAAGGCACTGGATGTGGCCTCCATTCTCTCCAGGCACCTCAGCTCAGAAGCCCCTCTGCTGGGATCCCTCCAGAACAGTAATGTTTTAGCAGAGAGGTAAAGGTGAGCCCATCTCTTTTAAGCGTTGAACTAGGTGGAGCTGTCACTTTGGTGGGAAAGTGAAGGCAGATTAGGACAGCATTACTCAGATCACATCTAATACATGATTGCATTTTTGTTTTTCCAGATTTATCAGCAAGACTGTTGAACACATAACTGCCCAAGATGCCCGTCCCTCCCCCTCCAGCACCCCCGCCGCCCCCAACATTTGCACTGGTGAGTGTCTCCACCCCAATCACTTTCTATGCATAAAGCAAGCCAGATGAAGCCAAAACCTGGCACACGTGTTTGTTTTAAATGTGTTTGTATTCTGGCTTACATGTGATACAGCGGGAATGCCTGGCTTACATGTGATACAGCAGGAATGCTTTTCCAGTGCCCAGAGTAAGCCAAACCCTGAGACCCAGCAAATATAAACAACACAAAGGATTTTGTTTGTTTAAGGTCTCATGCGATGGATGGTACAAGGGCAGAATGCAGCTGATGAGGTGTTTTCTGCCACATCCATGCAGGGAAATGTGCTGGCCCAAGACAGGGTTTCCAGGAGCATTTCTGAGACCAGCAGGCACTGTTTTCATCCAGATGAACTGAGTGTCTGGCTTTTAACTTCTGGGCTGGATGGTCTAGAAACCCAGGTCTCTGCCGGGCATGGTGGCGTGAACATGTAATCCCAGCTACTTGGGAGGCTGAGGCAGGAGAATCACTGAATCGCTTGAACCTGGGAGGTGGAGGTTGCAGGGAGCCAAGATCTCGCCATTGCACTCCAGCCTGGTCAACAAGAGTAAAACTCGGTCTCAAAAAAAAAAAAGAAAACAGAAACCCAGGTCTCTGTCTGCAGTGCATTCCATTGAAGTGTCTTCCAGTCTCACTTGTTTCTTTTCCTTTGCCTTTCCCCCTCTTCTTCCCAATTTGTTTTTGACAGAACAAATCCTCCTTTCACATTCACATCCTCCTTTAAATCTATACTTGCATTTTAATGTTTATTCTCAGAAAAAATGTCTTCACTGTATTCATCCTGGTCTTTTTTTTTTTTCTTTTTTGACTTACTCTGTCACCCCAGCTGGAGTGTAGTGGCACGATCTCAGCTCACTGCAACCTCCACCTTCCATTCAAGTGATTCTCCTGCCACAGCCTCCCAAGTAGCTAGGACTACAGACAGGTACCACCACACCTGGCTAATTTTTCTGTTTTTAGTAGAGACAGGATTTCACCATGTTGACCAGGCTTGTCTTGAATTCCTGACCTCAGTTGATCCACCCACTTCAGCCTCCCAAAGTGCTGGGATTACAGGCATGAGCCATGGTGCGTGGCCCATCCTGCTCCTTTGATAGACTTCTTTGGGGAAGTTAGAGTGCCCTCTTCCAGGAATTTGGCAGCCCTCCACTTGGTCATATGGAAAGGTCCCAAGACACACACTGTTACAAAGCCCTTTCCAGCTTGTGAAGCCTTCACTGAGGAGGAGGCTTACACTGATGGTTCATTTTCACCATTTTCACATGGGGAAACTGAGGCTCAGAGAGGAAGTTTCTTGCCCCAGGTTTCCATGAGACACATTTAAATAACTCGTCTGAGGTTGAAATCTAGTGAGAAAAACTGCCCATTAATTAACTTACTTTTACTCAGAGTGTGGTCTTCCAACTGCTTTTTAGAGTCCCCAAAGTGATGAGGATGGAAATTGAAAGTTAGCATTTAGGAGCATTTCTAGCAATTTGACAGTAGTTTTCTGTCTGTTTCTAAGATTGGATATTATGTTTCTTTTTTTAAAAAAATCTAATTCATTTTTTTAATAACGTATTGCTATTTTACAAAAGTGTGAGTCCCTGATGAAAATATTTTTCAAAAGACTGGTCCTCGGTTGGGGATATACTTTGGGAGGATAACTTGAGCCCAGGAGTTCGAGACCAGCTTGGACAACATGGCGAGACCCCCATATCTACAAAAAAAAAATTAATTAGCCAGCCAGACACAGGGCTGCATGCTTGTAGTCCCAGCTACTCTAGAGGCAGAGATGGGAGATTGTTCAAGCCCGAGAGGTCAAGGCTGCAGTGAGCTGCAGTTGTACCACTGCACTCGAGCCTAGGTGACAAGAGCAAGACTCTATCTCAAAAAAAAAGACTGCTCCTTCACGTGGATAAGTTTGAGAACCTAAAATCTGGCTAACGTAGTAGGATGCATTTATTCTTGTTTCCCCAAAAAGTGTGGATTACAGTGAACTGACTTAATAAAAAATATTAAATAAATAACACAGGTGGTATGAGAAGATGACAAAAATCATGAATCTTATACCAGAATGGTTAAAGTTTGGGAAATTCTTGTTTATCTTATCAACTCATTTCTATCCGTTATTACCTAATTCAAAGCAAGATCGTGGATAAATAAAATACAGAGATGGAAAAAAGGGAAAGGTGGGTTGGTAGCCATCATAGAACACTGCCCTTGTGAAACAACGTAATTAAGGACCCTGGACACAAGAGAAGTTAGCACCCAGGGAGGTCAGGTGGCAAAATAAATTTGGAGACAGAACAGGAGGCTACTGAAGGTTGCTGACCCAAAACTGTTAAGAGAGCCAGTGTGACACATCACTTAACCTCTCTAGGCCTCAGAGTTTTTTCATCCTTAACATGAAGACAGCAAGTAATGTTAAGAGCTCTTTCCAGGACGTCCAAAGTATGTTAAGTTGAAAACAAACAAGTTTCAGAGCAATAGAGGAAAATCTCATTAGCAAAAGCAAACTGTATGCAGAGAGCATTTCTGGAAAAACAGCAGAGAAACTTCTAACAGGCTTGCTTCAGGGGTGTGTGGGACTGATGGGGAAGGAGCATTTTAGAACCCACATTTACCGTCTGTCAACTTGTAGGGAAAACTCTGGAGTCAGACTTGCCAGGGTTTGAATCCCAGCTCCTCCTCAAATAACTAGGTGACTGGGGTAAATGATTTAAACTCCCTGTACCTCAGTTTCCTTGTCTGTAAAATGGAAATAATAAAACTCACAGAGTTGATAAGGGCTAAATGAAGTTAAACACATAGTGCTAAAAACAGTGCCTGACACAGAGTGAAAGCCTTATAAATGATAACTATTATTATCGTAAGCAAGAAATACTTATTTATAATAGTTATAAATTATTATTATCATAAGCAAGAAATACTTTATCACTTAGTTATTTCAAGATGCTTCCAATTTTACCATATTTTACAGTCATATTCTGTTTCCACAGTATAATTCCAGTTACACAGTAATTCTGGTGAGCCTACTTCAGGGTTTTTCCTTTGCCTCTAACTATGCTAATGAAAGGCTGAGTTAGGCCAGGAGCAGTAGCATGCACCTGTAATCCCAACTAGTCAGGAGGCTGAGGCAGGAGGATCACTTGAGCCCAAGATTTTGAGGCTGTAGTGCACGATGATCACACCTGTGTATAGCCACTGCACTGCAGCCTGGGCAACATAATGAGACCCTATCTCTAAAAAAAAAAAATTGTTCTTTAAAGGCTGGGTAAGGTATCAAGTCACACGTTTCCCCAGCCTTTCCTCCTGTGGCCCCAACTGGCAAACCTGAAATCATATCCCTGTCAGCAGGGCTAGGGCCAGCCTAGAAAGGACCTGTGGGTTTTGGGCAGCCAGACTCTCCCTGGGACAGGTAAGACCTAGCCAGTTTCCAAGTGCGGCAGGCACAGGCACACAGGCAGGTGCCTACGCCCAAGTCCTTTTGCTGGTCTCTTAGTGTCCCTACTCCCTGAAGGAATAAGATCCCAATTTCAAAGTAGGGATCTTTCCTAGGAATTCTGGAAATAGAGGAAAACACTCACATACTAAAGCAGCACCTTTGTCCATTCTGCAATTTTCATGGACTAAGCTTTCATCAGAATTAAACATCAGAAACACCTCATGCCAACAAGACATGAGAGAACTTTTGAGGTAATGAAAATATTCTATATCTTGATTATGATGGTGGTTACACAACTGTATATGTTTGTCAAAACTCATAGAACTGTAACTAAAAAGGATGATTTCACTATATGTAAATTATACCTCAATAAATCTGACTTAAAATGAAAAAAAGCATCATTGGCAATATACACAGAGGGAATTATTTTCTAGAATTTTAGTGGGTTTAAAAAACATACAGCTGACTCTTTTTGCTAGAGACAGTTTTTCCCTTGCACTGGATTAGTTCTAAAAGATGAGAAAAGGAAGTTAGTCTTCAGGGTACCCTCTGGTGAATGAAGCCCGATAATGTCCTGCAGAATCCTCCCAGACTTAAAATTCTTTTCTCGTGTCTAGTCATCTCACCCTAACCTGGCTCTGTTAGTTACAGTCAGACTATGGTCTGAATTTTCAGAGGCTTTAATCAAGGACTGACTCTTCCTGCCTTAAAAATGAACATAATTTATTGCTACATCTGCTTCCAAACATCTGGGTCTTAAAAAGAATGATATGGGGTTGAAAACTTGTCTTGAATTTATAACCTATCACCAAGAACAGTAATAACAAGATTCCAGTACCCAGCCTGTCCCAGCCAAGTGTTATAATACATTATTTTAACCCAAGAGATGACTACTCATTTGTATGGTTTCCTTTCAGGCCAATACAGAGAAGCCTACGTTGAATAAGACAGAGCAGGCTGGGAGAAATGCTCTCCTTTCTGATATCAACAAAGGGAAGAAACTGAAGAAGACGGTCACCAATGACAGAAGTGCACCAATATTGGACAGTAAGTGAAAAAAGCTATTTTCCATGGAGAGAAATGGTTTATGACCTAACAATCAACCCTACCCTCACCCCTCAAAATTTTTTGGTGGGGGGGTTAACAGCTGCAAAGCTAGCAAAATAAGGGACTGTATCACTCCCTGTAGGCCAGAGCGTTGGCTTGGGTTCCCCTCTAATGCTGCAAGAAGCCAATATAATAATTCTTTGTCCAAGACATACACAGCAGCAATTCTCTGCATTATTCACAACACTTTCTGGAGATTAACTCATTGCTCCTAGCACCACAGATGAGGAGGCAGCATAAAATATGGAAGGAGACCTAACCTTGGAATCAAAAGATGTGGGTTCAAGACCTAGCACGTCCATCCCATACCATCTCCAAGTCTTGTTGTCTTTATTTTAAAGTGAAGATGATAATACATGTTCTAGTGACCTCACAAGTTTGTCGTGAGCTTCAAATGAGATAATGCCTGTAGAATGTTTTGTTGTCTGGAGAGTATAATTCAAGTGTAAGATACGATCATTAGGAGCTTAGAGAGAAAAGAAATGAGGTCACAACTTTGCTTATGTACCCACCTAAGTCTGAGGTACTTTCTGGAGCAAGGCTACTTATTAACATTTACAACAGGACAAAAAATTATCCATGATGAGAATTCTACTGGCAATTAATAAATAGGTCTTAAGGCTGTCTCCTCATATTCCTAGACCCTTCCTTTGCCTGCCAGATGTCCCCAGGATTCATCCTAGAATACAGCTCTCATTTGGATGCAACAGTAAATAGACTGACCTTCCAAAATCACCAGATGGAGCTTTGTCAACAAGTGAATAATGAGGCAGAATCTTAGCAAAGTAGAAGATTAGAAGTGCTTCGGGGAACTTCCCAGGAGAAATGCCTAATGAGTAGAGAAGGAAGAAGGAGGATCAGAGTTAGGTGGACTACTGGTTTTGGGAGGAAAAAAGCAAAAGACCTAGATAAGGCCTTTGAATGTTGTTCTGTTACTGGGCCAAGTGATACAAGTAAGAATGCACCACTTTCAAAAAGGAACTATGACCAGGAGTGGTGGCTCACTCCTGTAATTCCAGCACTTTTAGAGGCCAAGGTGGGTGGATCACTTGAGGCCAGGAGTTCAAGACCAGCCTGGACAACATGGTAAAACCCTGTCTCTACTAAAAATATAAAAATTAATCGGGTACGGTGGCACATGCCTGTAGTCCCAGCTACTCAGGAGGCTGAAGCACAAGAATCACTTGAACCTGGGAGGTGGAGGTTACAGTGAGCTGATTTTTTGCCACTGCCCTCCAGCCTGGGCAACAGAGCAAGACTCTGTCTCCAAAAAAAAAAAAAAAGAAAGAAAGAAAAGAAACAAAGAAACTAAGGTATTTAACTCTTAACATAGTCTAACTTGTAAGTCCAAATGTGTACAAAATGAAGGTGGTTATAATATAATCCCTCTAATCTTTCAGCCCTCCAATAGCCATCCAAATCATGGTCTCTGGTATGAGGCTAGAGCCGCTGCTGACCTCTAGGATGGAGGCCTTTGGTCCTCCCCACTAAAAGAGGGAGCCTAGGGCTCTGTTGAAGGAGACTGGACAGTCTAGACCCATTCCTGAATCCACTAGTGGAAACCCATTGTATTCTTCAAGGTCCACTTCTGTCATTTAGTAGAAATGGCGTTGGTCCTTCTCTCTTCCACGATGTTTAATAATGTGCTTTCCTTGGTGGAAGGAAGATCCAGTCCAGCGCAGGCCCTTGTCCACGCACTTAACTAGACACCTATCCTGCTGTCACAAGCTCTGTGCAAGCAGCAGTGTTTATCCATGGTTTTGTATCTGTTTGCATGTGAAAATTCCCTGGGCTGTATGCCAAAATGTTGACCATGGTTATGTGTGATAACTCCCAAACTCAGCCCTGTCCTGCAGTTTAATTACTAAAGAAATAGGAACCAATTAACTATCCTCAACTTTAGCTTCTCTTTCTGAAAGACAGACAGATGTTACAGTTTAAGAACACTAATGGATGATGTCTGATCGTGCAAGAGTGCCTCTGAAGTTTCAATACAGTGTAAATGTGCCCTGCGTTAAGTGCAGTACTCCAAAATGTCATTCATCAATGAATAGTGTTTGACAAGGGCAATGTTAATATTATTAGCAAAATTTTAAAATTTTATATGGTAACAATTTTGCATACACTTCTAGAAATTGTTAGTTTTATATGATTTATCCTGCTAGGTAAAGTAATGCTTATCAGTTCTTATCAGATTATTTCTTCCACAGCAGAGCTACCATAAGCATTCCAGAAAGCTCCACACCTGGAAAAGATACAGAGCTAATACAAATTTATGATAAACCTAATCGAGGAAAAAAGGAAATAAAAATGAATAAAAGGAAAACTCAGAAAGCAGATAAGAGATTCAAAGCAGATTTTTCAAAATTAAAGCAGTGTAATAAAAATATGTGCTAAAATGTTCTAAGATCTTAAAGTATTTATTAAAATTTATCCAGGAAGCCTCAATGAGCAAGGGAAAAAAATGAAAACTTTATTAAATTACTTTCTCTCCAAAAAGCTTTGGAGCCAGATGGTTTTATTAGCAAATTCTTTCAAATTTTAAGAAACAGCTAATTCAAATGCTATATAAGTCATTCCCCAACATATTAAGAGATGGAAAGCTATCTAATAATTGTAAGGAAATTGGCATTATCCTAATGCCAAAACTTGACAAAGGCAGCACATGCAAAAAAAGAAAGCTGTACATTAGTGGTTTTCAACTGGGGGTGATTTTTGCATCCCATGGGATATGTGGCAATGTCTGAAGACATTTTTAGTCACTACTTTGGGGGCACAGGGAGGGCTGCTACTGACATCTAGTGGGTAGAGGCCAGGGATGCTGTAAACATGCTGTAAAGAACAGGACAGCCACCCACAACAAAGAATTATCTGACCCAAAATGTTAGTAATTAAGAAATCCTACCATGGACCACTCATCATCATAGATAAGAGAAAACTAAAATACAAAAAAACAAATCTAAACCAATCGACTGTTACCAGAATAATTCACCAACACCAGGGTTTATCTGCTTTTTTGTTTCCTTTTTTTTTTTCTTTTTGAGAGAGGATCTTGTCTTGTCACCCAGGCTGGAGTACTGTGGTATGAACACAGCTCACTGCACCCTTGACTTCCCAAGCTCAAGGGATCCTCCCACCTCAGCTTCCCGACTAGCTGGGACTACAGGTGCACCACCACATCTGGCTCATTTTTTGTATTTTTTATAGAGATGGGAGTCTCACCATATTGCTCATGCTGGTCCTGAACTTCTGAGCTCAAGCCATCCACCTGCTGTGGCCTCCCAAAGTGCTATGATTACAGGCGTGAGCCATTGCACCCAGCCTATCCCATTTTTAACATTAGAAAGTCTATCCATCATATCAAATAAAAAAGACCATATAATTGTCTCAGTAGATCTCGAAAGGGCATTTCATAAAATTCCATGCTATAAGAAATTCTTGTAAACCTAAAATAGAAGGATTGATCGACTGAATACTTAGAAAGGGAAAAAACCTATTTCAAACCAGTAATTCATATTAACTTTTGAAAACATCGGAGGTATTCTCATTAAAATCAGAGCATGGTTGCTTTTAGCAACGTTAATAATTTACATTGTAATGGAAATTTACCCATCAAAGTAATTATATAAAACAGAAATAAGACATACAACTCTTAGAGGAGGCAAAATCTTTATTATTTGAAGACCACATGCATACTAGAAAATGCAAGATAATAAATTTTTAGTAAATTTTAATTTAGAAAATATAGCAAAGTGACTTATTAGGTATTAAATACAATTTCCTGGCACCAAAAATAACCAATTACAAAATATAATGGAAAAAAAACATCCCTTTCACGGTTTCGGCAAACAAAAATACATTTGAAGCAACCCTAACAAAAAGCATGTGTAATGTAGATCATGAAAACTAAAAAACTGGCCGGGCGCGGTGGCTCACGCCTGTAATCCCAGCCCTCTGGGAGGCAGAGGCGGGTGGATCACGAGGTCAAGAGATCGAGACCATCCTGGTCAACATGGTGAAACTTCATCTCTACTAAAAATACAAAAAATTGGCTGGGCATGGTGGTGCATGCCTGTAATCCCAGCTACTCAGGAGGCTGAGGCAGGAGAATTGCCTGAACCCAGGAGGCGGAGGTTGCGGTGAGCCGAGATCGCGCCATTGCACTCCAGCCTGGGTAACAAGAGCGAAACTCCGTCTCAAAAAAAAAAAACAAAAAACAAAAAAAAAAACTAAAAAACTTTGCCAAAAAATTCAGAAGACATGAATAAATGGGAAAATATGCCATGTCTCCAAATGTAAAGTCTAAATATCATAAAAGTATCAGTTCTCCCAAATTAATTTGTAGATTTCATATACGGTTTATCAAAGACTCAACATAGTTTTTTGGGAAGAAGACTTTAAATAATGTTTAAGCTCATGAATACAAACATGCACACATACGTAAATTGTTAAGAGATAATTTTTTTAAAGAGGGTATAAGCATTTCTTGAACACAACTAATTTGCACTTCCTTGGACAAATACCATTGCATTAATATCAATTTTCTATACCTTTCAGACTGCTAATACTGTAGCTCAAACCAATAGAAAGTAACCCAGAAGACTAGACAGAATGCTCAGTAATCTTTTTGTTTGCTTGTTTATTTGCTTCCCATCAAAATCATTCACAATTTTTTGCAGATAAGTTCAAAATAAAACAAAATCTTCATACCCTCTCAAATCGCAAAGAATGTTTAAATTACCTAAAGCCTACTATTGGGCTTCATGATGTTAAAAAATTAACAGCAATCTAAAGGGCCATCAAATGAGTAGTTAAACAAATGGAATACATTCATGTTCTATAATGCAACCCTTTAAAATCATGTTTTCAAAGAGTATTTATGACACAAGAAGTGCTAACAAAGTGTTAAATGAAAAAAGCAGGCTTAAAACTGTGTAGTGAATTCGTTCTTAATTTTAAGAAAAAACACATACAATGAAAAATACTGTCGGGAAACAGTATAACTCAATAGTGGATATTTGCTTGGTTTTTTGCTTGTTTTGTTGCTGGAGTGCAGTGGCACAAGCATAGCTTACTGCAGCCTCAATGGGTTCAAGTGATCTTCTCACCTCAGCCTCCTAAGTAGCTGGGACTGCAGGTGTGCACCACCATGCCTGGCTAAATTTTTTATTTTTGTGGAGACAAGGTCTCACTTTGTTGCCCAGGCTGATCTCAAACTCCTGGGGCCCAAGCTGTCCTCCAATCAGCCTCCCAAAGTGCTGGGATTATAGGTGTGAGCGACCATGCCCAGCCTAGATATTTATTTATAAAAATTATGGGATATTTTATTTTCTTCTCTTTTTAATTCTTTCCTTTCTTCTCACATTTTATGGCATCTCCTTCTCCCTCGGGACCTTCTTTCTTTTTTTTTTTTTTTGAGACAGGGTCTTATTCTGTCGCCCAGCCTGGAGTGCAGCAGTGCAATCTTGGCTCCCTGCAGCCTTGACCTCCCCAGCACAAGTGATCCTCCCACCTCAGCTTCCAAAGTGCTGAGAGTACAGGTGTGAGCCACTGTGCCTGGCCTGAAGATCCTTCTATTTGCCAAATCCTAGGATACAAAACAAATAGATATTGACCCATGTGGCAGCCAGTCAAGTGGGGAGTTTGGGGACAAATCATCCTTTATTTTCATTTCTTACACCACTGGGCCTGGGACTGCCTGGAGCGGGCAGTTCTGACTGCGCTGAGGGAACTCTTAAAATCCTGCATTGTAATGAAGAAATCCCAGTTGTCCACTGGAGTCCCAGAGCCAGCCAGCTCCCTGTTGTACTGTTGCTTTATGGTTTCCCTGGGCCAGACTGGGAAGCATACTGTGACGGGTGTTTCTTCTTCTGCAGAACCTAAAGGAGCTGGAGCTGGAGGTGGTGGTGGCGGTAGCGGCTTTGGTGGAGGAAGTGGTGGCGGAGGCGGTGGAAGTTTTGGAGGGGGCGGACCTCCAGGTCTGGGAGGACTGTTCCAGGCTGGAATGCCGAAGCTGAGATCCACGGCCAACAGGGATAATGGTAAGGAGCGTTACCTTCTCTCTGAGTAACTGAAGATGAGGCAGTGTGGCAGTTTGGAGGCTGGTCATAGCCTCTAAGGCTCTTTGCCCTTATTAAAATATTGTACATTGTTTGAAATATTACCACTGTTTCATAAGAGACTCAATTTAGTCTTTATTATTATTATTAACCAGGATCAGACAGCTCCATAGAACTATGAAATTTTCACCCAGTGTCTTTGGGGGTAATCTGTACTTTTTTTTCACTTTTCTAAAGGGTTAACTGGAATGGGAAGTAAAGGGAGAAGCAAACAGAACTTGCTGGGCCTGGAAATCAGCCTGGTGACCTGGCAGATTCAGCTTTCATTGTGAGGTAGTCCAGCTGTCTAGTAGAGTAAATACTTGTAAGATTCTTTTCAAACACTAGGGAGCACGTCTTGTGGAATATGATTACAAATCTCACTAAATCTGAAACAGTGTTTTGCAAGACAGACATTTGCTATTTCAGTGCCAGTGGTTCTCAGGAGTCTCTGCAGGGAGCCATGGACATGAGTCCTTCAGGAGTGTCTATGAACCTGATGGTAGAGAAATGCTGAACTTGCTCATGAATGCCTAATAAAAAACTTTGCAGAGAGCACGAGGCTCTCTCCTGACTAATACAGAAACTCAAGAAATTTTACCTTAAAACTGTTTTTGTAATGTTGATCATGTTAGAAGAATTTTCTTTCTAAGACCTTTTATAAGATGTCCTCTGGGAAAGCATGAAATTCTCACATTTACGTGAACATAGAGTCACTGAACCCTCAGGGTTAGCCTATTACTTTGTCACTGAATGGTCCAAATCTAGAGAGAAACTCAATCACGTGAGAGGTTCTGTCTTGCTGGACCACCATTTGCATTTAAATTTATTTATTTAAAATTCACCAAAAGGATTTAAATCCTTAAGGCAGCTGATAAATGTATACATTCAGTACTTTAACAGCAGGTGAAGAAATTAAGGCAAATTACAAAGAAAAATAAAATAATAAAATGGGCCTGGCATGGTGGCGCACACCTATAATCCCAGCACTTTGGGAGGTCAAGGGAGACAGATTGCTGAAGCCGAAAAGTTTGAGACTAGCCTGGGCAACATGGCAAAATCCCGTCTCTACTGAAAAACACAAAGAATTAGAGGCACAGTTGCTGTTGCCTATAGCCCCAGCTACTCAGGAGGCTGAGGTGGGAGGATCACCTGAGCCTGGGAAGTTGAAGCTGCAGTGAGCGGTGATCGCGCCACTGCACTCCAGCCTGGGCGACAGAGGAGAGCCTGTCTCAAAACAAAAACAAACAAACAAAAAAAGTTTTCTCCTCAGTTCATGATATCCCATTGTATAAATCTGTCCAAATGCTTCTTCCTGTGCCTTAGATAAAATCGGAACCGCTTCTGTCACTCACCCCTGCTGACCGCTCAGGCTCCACTTCCCATGGATCTCTCCCATTCTCACTGTACCACCGGCACACGGGCCTCTGTTTTTTAACTTGAAGCTCTTTCCCACCTCAGGGCCTTTGCACCTGCTGGCCCCCTGGCCTGAAGCGCTGGTCTTCCTCATCTTTCCATGACCAACTCCTTGTCAAGCCTCAGCTCACATGTCACATTCTCAGAAGAGCTGTCCCCAGCCACTCCATGTACCCTGGCCTCTCCAAGCACTCTTGATTTCATCGGCCTATTTTAGTGTCTTTTTAGTACATATAATTATCTGAAAGTATTTCCTGGTTTATTGTTTTTCTCCCCTCACAAGAATGTAAACTACAGGAATGCAGAACCTTTTCTACTGTGCTTACTCCTCTGTCTCTAGCCTCTAGGTTAATGGCAGGCGTATAACAAGTGCTCACAATTGTTTGGTACATTTATTAACTCATAATTGAAGGGTAGTTTTTTTTTTTTTTTCCCAGAATTACCTTGAGTTCCAAGAGATTCTGAGATGGTGCTTTGAAATTTTCCATCTCTTCATTTCCCTCTTTAGTTTCTCCCTTGTTGAAGCAGAGCAGTTATAGGATTGTTCTGTCCTGCCAATATTGAAGCAGAGGTTGAGCTGGTGAGAAAAAAGTTGTGTAGTTGCTTACTTCTTTGTAGATGAATTCCATCCACTGGTGTCGACTCTTCCAATTAAACTTCATCTGTTGGTTTGTTTTTCTTTTCTTAGTTTCTTCTTATTGCAGTCATAACTCTTCCCTTATATTTTTCTGCCTTTTCTTGGGCCTTTTTCTTCAAAGGGACTAGATAAGCCCTCACATGTGGAGATTTTCATTGGGATAATTAATTTTTTCACCTAAGATAGCTGACTTTCAAAACTGGGAGATACAAGGCTGGGAGACAGATATGGTGATGGGAAAAAATGAAAATCATGATTCTACCCATGCCATCTTGTTCTTGTCTTCTCGTAATGAACAGGCACCTCACCAGAACCCTCACCCATTTCATCCGGGCTTTTGTCCATACATAATGCTAAGAGATCTTTCCAGAATCCTTTTGAAAGCTGATGGGCTATAGAACTTGGGACTAGCAGGTAAATAGAGCTGTGGTCTATTTCCTGCTCCCAGGAAGGACCACACAAAACCCGTATTATATAAATAATAGTTTCCTGTGTTTTATAGCCCCCTGAGGAAGGGCATTCCGGTTGCTGTGAACAGACCCTAGCTTGCTGATTTCCTTAGGGTTCCCGATTTCCTAACTGGACGTCTGTTTTCCTGTTCTTCAGATTCTGGAGGAAGCCGACCACCAGTTTTGCCACCAGGAGGAAGATCGACATCTGCCAAACCTTTTTCGCCCCCAGGTGGCCCAGGGAGGTTTCCAGTGCCTTCCTCAGGCCACAGAAGTGGTCCCCCAGAGCCTCAGAGGAACCGAATGCCACCCCCGAGGCCCGACGTGGGCTCAAAACCCGATAGCATTCCCCCTCCAGTACCTAGCACTCCAAGACCCATTCAGTCAAGTCTGTACAACCGGGGGTCCCCACTAGGGCCCGGAGGCCCCAGGCAGCCCAGTCCCGGGCCGACTCCTCCTCCTTTCCCTGGAAACCGTGGCGCTGCTTTGGCAGGAGGCTCAGTGCGTCAGTCCTCCTCGAGCTCCTCTCCCTTCTCCAACCGGCCTCCCCTGCCGCCTACCCCCAGCAGGGCTTTGGATGACAAACCCCCTCCGCCACCTCCTCCAGTGGGCAACAGGCCCTCCATCCACAGGGAAGCGGTTCCCCCTCCTCCCCCTCAGAACAGCAAGCCTCCAGTGCCTTCCACTCCGAGGCCTTCCTCCTCCTCACAGGCCCCACCACCGCCGCCACCTCCCAGCAGGCCTGGGCCTCCTCCCCTGCCTCCAAGTTCCAGCGGCAGTGACGAAATCCCAAGACTCCCACAGCGAAATCTGTCCCTCACTTCGTCCACACCCCCCTTACCTTCGCCAGGACGTTCGGGTCCTCTTCCTCCCCCACCCAGCGAGAGACCCCCACCTCCAGTGAGGGACCCACCAGGCCGATCAGGTATGACAAGACGTGGGGTGAGTTGTTCCCAAAACCCAGCCCGCCCAAATGTGCCAGTAATCCTGTCAGTCAAGGTAGTCTAACAAAAGCAAGCATAAGTCAACTCTCAGACTGCTTTGTGCTTTTAAAGTAACTTGCGACACATGTGGTCATGACCTCATGTATACCTCTGAGGAAAGTGGGACCAACATTTCTGTTGGTGTTTTAGAGATGAGGACACTAGCCAATAAAGTTAAACGGCCATGAGCTGGTTAATAACGTAGAGGCACGTTCATCCTCCATCTGGGAAGTCTACTGGCCAGTCTACTACCCTGCCTCCCTAGAGAGAATTTCTGCAGGCGTAATTGGGAACATAAGTTCCCACCTCCTGCAGGAGGACTCTGTTATTCCAACAAGAGGGGCAGTTCTTCAAGAGCTAATGAACTTCTCCTGTATTTCTCTCTTCATGCGTCAGGCTTTGAGGCCATTTCTCTGCTCATTAAAGACAAATGTTAAAAAGTCCATTTTGCTCTTTGTTAACATCTCTGGTACAGAAATCCCTTGGAGAATCAAATAAAAAGATATAGACTTTATCTTCACAAAAATGCTCAGGCCTAAACTCAAAATTCAAATGCTATCGCATGGCTTGGAGGGCCTGCAGAAGCCCATCTGAGACCCTTCCAATGCCGCTGTCCACAGTTGAAAAACCATGATCTCAGAGAGAAACTTTCAGAGTATGAAAGGAAACGCGAGGATTGCCTAGAGTTTGACCTCTCTCTCAGTTACCATAGGCATTTTTAGTAGAATACACTCACTTAATTCGTTTTACAGTGGTTATGGATGACCTCTGTAGGACTATCTCCTTTTAAAATTTAATCTCATCATACAGACCTTATCATGTCTGGAAATGGGGCATTTCTTTCCTTTATGCAGAAATAACAGACCTTTGACACTGTGACCTTAGCAACCTCATAATCACCATTCTTTTTTTTTTCTTCTTTTTGAAACAGAGTCTTGCTCTGTCACCCAGGCTGGAGTGCAGTGGTGTGATCTTAGCTCACTGCAACCTCTGCCTCCCAGGTTCAAGTGATTCTCCTGCCTCAGCCTCCTGAGTAGCTGGGACTACAGACACATACCACCACACCTGGCTACTTTTTTAAAAAATGTTTTTAGTAGAGACGGGGTTTCACCATGTTAGCCAGATGGTCTTGATCTCCTTACCTCATGATCTACCTACCTCGGCCTCCCAAAGTCCTGGGGTTACAGGCATAAGCCACCGCGCCAGGCCTAGAATCACCATTCTTTGAACTTGTTTACATTCTGGAATCACTTAGGGAGCTTTAAAAACCACAAATGCCTATGGCCTTTCCCAGAGTCTCTGGTATAATTGGTCTGGGATGCAGACTGGGAATCAGGATATTTAAAAGCTCCGCAGTGATTATAGTGTGCAGCAGAATTCGAGAACCACACCTTGAAACTGTTGTGTGTTGGCCCTACCAAACGGATGAGTCAGCAGATTAAATCTTCCCCAAAATATGATAGGCATTGACATATAACATTTATTATTTCATTTGATTATATAAGTCATACCTACAGAAATACTGAAAAATATAAAGAAAATTAAAATTATCTGTAATCCACTACCACCATCCAGAAATAATCATTGATAACATTCTTTTCATGTGTCCTTTCAGTCTTTTTAAAATGCATATAATGTACAGTTTTACAAACTTGGTATCGTGCTACCTATATTGTTGCTAATTTGCTTTTTATTTAACAGATCTCATTAATGTTTGCTGCTATGATTATTCTTCTACAGCCTGTCTTTTAACGGCTACCAAATATTAAATCCTACGAATGTACCTTGATTTATTTAACCAGTCCCCTCACTTGGTCATATGGGCCATCTCTAGATTTTTCCTGTTGCAGATAATGCAGTGATACATTTTTGTAGCAAAATATGTGTACACATCTCTGTGTTTCCTTTGGACGAATTCTTACAAGTGGAATTTCTGGCTCAGTGAGTGTGCATAGTAAACTATGGATTTCATAGGTACTGCCAAATTGCCTTCCAGAAATTTTTTACCAATTTACCCTCCCACAAGGAGCATATGAGAGTTCATCAAAGGCCCTCGGTATTTTGAGTGGTTTGGCTTCATTATTATGGGAGTGGGCCTTGGAATCTGATAGATTTGGAATCAGATTCTGGCTCCTCCCCTCAGTCTCCTGATGAGCTTTTTAAGCTTCCAAAATTTCTGAGGCCTTGTCTTCTGTCCCTGTACCTCTCAGCGTTGTTGTAAGAGTTTAACGAGACAAGCATGTATTGTCGTTATCTTATTTCCTGGCACAGGGTTATATTCAATAAATAATCATTTCTGTTATTCTGCCAGTGGGAAATAGACATCTTTTCTACTGTGCTTGCCAGGATTTGGAGCAGGAAGCCACGGGGTTGGAGAGTTAGGAACATGAACATGACCACTTACTTTAAAAAGAAAAAAAGGCCAGGCGCAGTGGCTCACACTTGTAATCCCAGCACTTTGGGAGGCTGAGGGGGGCAGATCACCTGAGGTCGGGAGTTCAAGACCAGCCTGACCAATATGGAGAAACCCCATCTCTACTAAAAATACAAAATAGCCGGGCGTGGTGGTGCATGCCTGTAATACCAGCTACTCAGGAGGCTGAGGCAGGAGGATTGCTTGAACCCGGGAGGCGAAGATTGCAGTGAGCCAAGATCACATCGACTTGAGCTTGGGTGACAAGAGTGAAACTCTTGTCTCAAAAAAAAAAAAGAAAAAAGAAAAAAGAAAAGGAGATGAAGTTGATCAAGTTACACTGTACAGGGCCCCGTCATATTGGAAGTGGAGTTTCCATGTAGTAACAGTTGTGTGGTGGCATCACCAATGAACTTAAACCCACAGCAAATGAGACACTTTCCTCAATCAACTCTTGCTGCCTGGGACTCCAGCAATGACAAGCAGATAGGGTAATAAATAACCACTACCAGGTGATTCACTGAAGACTCCTTGGGAGACCAACCAGGGCTAGGCAGTGCCTCCCACCATCGTAAAATATGTGAGCCAAGACTTTCTGTTAGGGATATCTACAGTGGACAGGTTGTTCAATTTAAGGTTCCTAATTGGATTCTGAATCTATAGCTAATAAGATATTTATAGCACCATAAGACATTGTATTCACATAAAATTCAGCATACAAGTGGAACACTGCTGAAGATCACGAATAATAACTAAGGCCATTTTGATTTACATTGGAAAATGCTCAAGTTTTGGGTTTTGTTTTTTTAATTTACTTACTACTCAAATAGCCGCTGCATTTGGAGGACAGGAAAAGCAAGATGGTTTTCTTTTGTATTAACAAAAATAATTTTCTTTGAATTTTTCTTTAGGAACTTAAAAAACTTAAGGTTATACCATACTGCTACATTTTAAAAAATGGTTTCAAATACTTCCGTAGTATTTTTTTATTTGCGTTTTCACTGGTTTTTTTTTCTGGCAGCAGTGATATAAGGCAGGTGACTATCTGGCACTCTTTTATAGCTAGAAAACCAAGTTCCATAGGGTACCAGCTTGCTCAGGGTCAGAACTCACAGTAGCATTTATAGCCATGGATGTTGATTAGCTGTTTGTCACTCCCTGTGTTCATCTGCCTCCCCAAAGAGAAAGAACGAAGGAGGAACTCCTGCTCTCAGGATGACTGGCATTTGGTTTCCTGATGCCACTTCTGCCTGTAAACAGATCATATGCATCACAGAAGCTTGTTTGTGTAATTAACAACAAAACTGTGCATTTAAAGAACTTTGTTATTCTGAAGACATAAAATAATTTCATAACTATCCTATTCTTTTTTAACAATTATTTTATGTCACAGTGATTAGTTCAATAGATCTTTAAAGGATTATAAAATTTTTTTAAATATGGTTGTCAGTATATACAGATTTTCACCTGTTTTCAATTTTATTGTGCCATCTCCAATCTCAGTGCAAACTCAAAGCTGAAACGGCCATTTAGCTATTAGTATGCACTTGTTTTCACATACATGAATACACAAGTGCATTTTTGTGTTTCTGTGTGTTTACTCATTCCCCAGCTAAATCTCCTAGAAAATCTCCACGCTAGTTAAAGGGCATATGTCCGGCAGGTCCCCATCAGCCTTACACTGATGGTGACCACTGTAACGGAATGTGGATGTAACGTTCTACACTGTCTTCTTTTGCTCCAGGCCCCCTCCCACCACCTCCTCCAATAAACAGAAACGGCAGCACATCTCGGGCCCTGCCTGCCACCCCTCAGTTGCCATCCAGGAGTGGAGTAGATAGTCCCAGGAGTGGACCCAGGCCTCCCCTTCCTCCTGACAGACCTAGTGCTGGGGCACCTCCCCCACCTCCACCAGCAACATCTATTAGAAATGGCTACCAAGACTCCCCATGTGAAGGTGAGGTATGGTCCCAGCTCCTAAGCTATAGGACAGCAACTAAATGGTAAATCTGTTTGTATGTGTGGTTTGCTTGTTTGAGTTTAATTTCTTGTTCCATCGTTATCACACTCCATTGCCCTGATCCAACTGTCTAACCCAGGCATCCCCAAACTATGGCCCGCGGGCCGCATGCGGCCCCCTGAGGCCATTTATCCGGCCCCCCACCACACTTCAGGAAGGGGCACCTCTTTCATTGGTGGTCAGTGAGAGGAGCACAGTATATGGCGGCCCTCCAACGGTCTGAGGGACAGTGAACTGGCCCCCTGTGTAAAGTTTGGGGATGCCTGGTCTAACCATTCTATGGCCCACCATTGATTTGAAATTAAAAATAGTAATCCCCCTTCCCCAGTTCCCAATATGGCAGATCATTTTTCTCTGATCTGTTCTTTGAGTCTCGTTTTAGTTAACTTTACAGAGATTCAAGGATTCGGAAAAGAACCTCTTTAAAGCTTGCCTTTATTATGTACACTTCTAAATAGTTCACTATAGGTAAGAAGTCCAATGGCTCTTACCTGCTATGCTGCCTATCTCTGCCATTGTTATCAGAGTGGTCCCAGTTATTCCTGGGCCTGCTGGTATGGAAAAACATGTCCCATACCTCAGCCCCCAGCTCCTAAGAGGGACTGACTGGATCCCCGTCACTCTCATTAAAAACCACTTTGCTTTCATTTGCAGGCCTGAGATTTTATATATAAAAATATATATATCAGTGTACTGATCCATGATCTTTGTAGCACTTCCAGCTTTTCTGTAAACTTCTAGGCGTAAAAACTAGCACTGATGTCTGTGGTTCTCTCTGGTTCATTCTGTGCCTTTCGTTATGTAAATCTTCATAGCAGATTGTCTGTCACTGAAGATACTGCTTGTTTCTCCCCCTAGATGAGTGGGAAAGCAGATTCTACTTCCATCCGATTTCCGATTTGCCACCTCCAGAGCCATATGTACCAACGACCAAAAGTTATCCCAGTAAATTGGCAAGAAATGAAAGCCGGAGTGAGTATTTCTTCCAGGGTTTTTGAAGATTCATGCTTGAATAGCCTGAGTGACTCCTGGGCTGTATAGAAAATCCAGGCTCTTGCTTGGAGTTGGGTAGAGAACCCTTTGGAACCATCTACCTTCTAGTAAATTCCCCTTCCACAGGCAGTGAGGAAATTGCAGATGCCCAGAATGCATGTGAGAAAGTTATTTTAATGTGTCCTTACAAGCTGAAAATACTGTGGTTTGCTAGTATTAAATTTTGTTATTTTGCTTCTTTGGACAATCTTCCTCCATTTTCATCTTCCTGAGACAGCACAAGTAGAGGCATCTCCTATTCCTTCTGGTTTTGAAATTGGCATGTGTCTGATTAATTATAACAAAAATTTCCTGTAACTGCCTTGATCTTTCAAATGTAGTACAGTCATAGCTTTACAGAGCATTACATGAAAATTTAAATATATCTATAATCTCTCCACATAATAGATATTTTCATTTTATCAGATTCTTGTCCAATTTTTTATCCATATAATTCTGATTTTTTATGTAGTTATAATCACAGAGTACAGTTCTTTGGTGTCAGGGTTACATAACATTGCTTAGTAAACAGTATCCATGTTATCACATGGTTTTTATTTTCGCATAGAGTAACTTACCATTCCCATGGACATTTAAATTATTTCTGTTGTTCTGCTAATGTAGGTAATGCTACCATAAAGAAGTAAATTGCTTTTCCTCCATTGAAGAAGAAATGTGAACAAGAAGGGAAAATAGGCAGGCTGGAATTTCATAACAGTAAATGTATGGGAAGTGTTACAGCTCTTTTAGAATTTTTTTCGCAGGCTTTCCAGGGTTTTGCTGGAAAGCCTCTTAAATTTACTTTAAAAAATACAATAAATATATACAACTAAGAATGAATTAGCATGAAATATGCGTATGTCACCGATGAGGCTTAGGTTCGTGGCAGCCTTAGCCTCAGAGCCAAATTCCCAAACCAGAAATAGAGAAAACATAAGCAAGCAAGTCAAATACCTGTCACAACACCCCTTGCCAGGGCCTCACTCCCTAGCAGAGTGTCTTACACGTACTCAGAGCTTACTGATTCTTTCCTAACACAGTTTAAAGTAATTTTTGGTGGATTGGTTCCCAATCTTATAGGAGATTAATAACAGCTAAAGTTAAGACTAGTGAGAAGCAAAATCACTACCATGAGAGAGAAGTGACAGATGGCAGTCCCAGGTCAGAGGAGGAGATAGGAACAAGGCTGCACTGTGTCGCAGCACAGGACAACACCACATGTTTCTTTTGGGTTAAATGGGATTAAATTAATTGAGTCAAACTGTGCTTTGTGCCTCTGTAGAAAAATTTAAAGAGTTAGAAAATATGGGAAAATTTCCATGGACAAATGCTAGAAGAAAACAGAATACTGCTGCTTAAAAGGAAAACTTTAATTCCTGGAAAAAATCCGTTTATGTGGAAGACTGCATTCATAGACAATACCTAATAAAGAGGTATAGCTGTAATAAAATTATTGTACAAGCATTGATGATTGGAATTTTTAGTGAAAAGTATGATTTCACATGAGACAAATATCTTTGAATGCTGTGTGTGCGTGTGCGTGTGTGTGTGTGCTTGTGTGTGTGTGTGTTCACCAGAAGAAGGGCTTCTGTTTTGTTAAGAGTATAGCCCTTCTTCCTTCTTGGGCACCAATAAATGAATTTACTTTAAGGAGTTGTTCATATAGACTCTAAATATTTTTCCTGACTTCTAATAAACTTCTTATTCTAAATATTATTTGTATTTTTAAATCAGTAACAGACCATCTTCCCTGTACTCTCTAGATTTTGAAGGTAATAGCTAAGCATATTTTTTTCCCCCATCCTCCTTTAAGACTCAAGTAGGCAATATAGGATTAGAACTGTGTCCTGCTCATTACTGCATCTTCCTTGAGAGGCACAGAGCCTGAAACATAAAGGACATTTTCAAATATTTCTTTTGAAAAATTTTCTTGGCCAGGTGTGGTGGCTCACGCCTGTAATCCCAGCATTTTGGGAGGCCAAGGCAAGCGGATCACGAGGTCAGGAGTTTGAGACCAGCGTGACCAACATGGTGAAACTCTGTCTTCACTAAAAAAAATACAAAAATTAGCAGGACATGGTGGTGCATGCCTGTAATCCTAACTACTCCAGAGGCTAAAGCAGGAGAACTGCTTGAACCAGGGAGACAGAAGTTGTGGTGAGCCAAGATTGCACCACTGCACTGCAGCCTGAGCAACAGAGCGAGACTCTGTCTCAAAAAAACAAAATTAAATTAAAATAAAAATTTTCTTGTCGAGACAGGATATCTCTTCGTTGCCTGGGCTGGTATTGAGCTCCTGGTCTCAAGTAGTTCCCCCTCCCTTAGCTTCCCAAAGCACTGGGATTACAGCCGTGAGCCACCATGCCTACCCTAAAACTAGTTTTTAAATTGGTGAACTAATTTCCACTGTCTACTAAAATTTTCTGTAGATTTGCCTTAAATATTTCCAGCATTTGTCATGTTTAATATTTTATAATGATAATAGATCATCCAACAAAAATAAAGAAGGCACTGTCAAGTACCAAGTTTTCTTCTGCTCCTGCAGCTGCCTCAGCCTCCCAGCACACAGCCTGAGAGCACAGCCAGACAGCCCTGAGCTGTACCGAGTGCACTTGGAGTGCCCTCTAATTATAGCTTTGGACAAGGCCAGCCCTCATTCTACTAACCACTTGTGGCGGGTCAGTTGATGGCCAAGGCTCCATGATAGCTGTCTGGTTTACATCCAGATGAGTCTTTTCTCGGATGCTTGCCCAAGAAAATATTTGGTTGGGATGGTGAGAGGAAGAGGCACCTCTCTCAGTGTTCCTTTCCTTGCTCAGAAATTTGATTCTTTCTCAGAAGTCCCTGAGTGGACTACTAGGGTCACTGTCAAGATGCCTACTGAGGAATCTGCCAGTGCCAGCCCACTGAGTCTCAGAGCAGTGGTTGGAGCAGACCTACCTGATTGACACATGCCCCAGACAGACCTGCTCACAGCATCTGAGCACCTGACCTCATGTTGAACACCTGTGAAATTCTCAACAAATGTTTGTGTAGCAAATGAATTTTTTTTTAATGTGAATGGGTTTTAAGCCTAGTACAGTGGTCTGATAGCCATGAATAGCTTGGTTTTTGTTTTTGTTTTGTTTTTGAGACAGGTTCTCACTTTGTCACCCAGGCTGGAGTGCAGTGGCGAAATCTTGGCTCATTACAGCCTTGACCTCTGAGGTCTGGGTGATCCTCCCACCACAGCCTCCCAGGTAGCTGGGACTATGGGACAGGCACGCACCTACATGCCCGGCTAATTTTTGTAGAGATGGGGTTTTGCCATGTTCCACAGGCTGGTCTCTAACTCCTGAGCTCAAACCATCCTCCCTCCTCAGCCTCCCAAAGTGCTGGGATTACAGGTGTGAGCCACCACACCTAGCCATGAATAACTTTTAAAAGAACACATTGACAGAGTACTTGAAAAGATGCTCAACATCACCAATCTTTAGGGAACTGCAAATAAAACTACAGTGATATAAAACTTTACACCCATTAGGATGACTACTGTCAGAAAAGGTTTGTTTAAAAAGTAAAAGATACCTAAAGGCCCAACAAAAGGGAATTGACTAGATAGACTGTAGTATACTCATATTTTGGAATGCAGTGTGTCGTTAATAATCTTTGCAAAGAGTGATGCCTTTGAAAATGTTCAAACTGACCATACGATCTTATTTCTGGAAGAAAAAGGGGAACTGTTTCTAAGTTAAAAATAGACACATAATTGGTTATCTCTGGGTGGTGGTCTTTGTTTTGTTTTTACTCATCCATATTTCCTGAATCCATAATAAACACACACTATATGATAAGAAGAAAATGATTTTTTAACTTTGTGCAGGTACTTGGGAGCCAATGATGGATCATCCACCATAATGTTTATTCAGAACACTACTTGCTTATTTTCACCTCTCACTTCTCATCCACAACATATGCTAGTTAGCTGACGGCCCTGGTCGTGGGGACGAAGTAGTGGATACCTGTGCCACCATGCCCAAGTTTCCACGATGATAACATCAGCTTTCTCACCAAAATTCTATTTTGTCTTTTTACACCAAGGTGGATCCAACCGAAGAGAAAGGGGTGCTCCACCACTCCCTCCCATCCCGAGGTGATCTTTGCCTGTTCTTCTCTTTCTCTACCCGAGCTCAAGAGCTGCTTCTGTTGCTATCGAAGAACTGCACACCCTCCTCCGCACTTCTTCCCTTGTGCCCCTCGTATGGGCAGGAAGAAAGGTGGGAGAGTGAGTGGGAATATGCGTGTGTGGGGTGGGAATCGGTAAGAAATGCACCTAGCTTTTCATATTGTGTTTATTCTCTAGGCTGTTGCTTGCTTCAGCTGCAGCCGGCCTGTGCTGGCTGCCTGGGTCGATAGGCTTTTGTGGAAATAGGCAGAAATGAATTGCATCTCTGCTTTCAACCAACAAAATTCAGACCTTCACTGCTTATTTGCTACAGACTGTAATTATTGAAGTCCCTGAGAGCTGTTTTCTCCTTTCCTTTTTCGCATGCTTGGCCTCCTATGTCCATGAACCACAAACCAACTAAGCAAGTTGCTGAGTAAGAGCTCACAGGAAACTTTTGCAGTCACAGGATGTCCAACCTTTGGCAGTCTGAGCTCAGCTCTAGGACAGAGCTGTCCAATAGAAATATAATGTGAGCCCCAGATGCAATTTTTAAATTTCTAGTATATTTTAAACAAGTGAAGTTAATATTTTATTTAACCCTAGGCATCCAAAATATTTCAACCTGTAATCAACATAAAAATTTTAATGAAATATTTTATATTCTTTCTTGGTACTAAATCTTCAAAATCCAGAGTATATTTTATATTTACAGCACATCTCCATTCAGACTAGTCACATTTTTAAGTGCTCAGTAGCCATATGTGGCTGGTGGCTACCGTGTTAGACAGCACGAGTCTGGAAGATGGAAGCTAGTGCAGAAACCTCTTGTTTCAAAAACAAAAAAAGGCAAGATGGGCTTGAGTGATTCAAGAGGCAACTAAAAATAAAATTAGGACCCAGCACCTTGTTTGACAGACAGTTCGACCTTCAATTTTGCTCCCTTATTTTCTCTCTTCCCTTAATATCTGTGTACAAGTGTTGCTTCACGGTACCAAGGTCAAAACTGATGGAGTACAGTTTACTAAGGTCATGTGGAATAAAGCCATTGGAAAGAAACAGAAAGCCTGTCAGGGCTTCCGGGCTCAGAACCAGCTGGCTCACACGCTCACTTGTCAGTTCGACTTGTGCCTTGTAAATTGGAAGCAACTTTTGCTCCTCTCTGCCTGAGCAAGCTCCTGAGGTTAGGAGAGACTAGGAAGGTTTGGTAGAAGGGGAAGAAAGTCAGGGAAAGGTATCAAATCAGAAACATGGAAGAAAGGAACAGATTTGAATTGGTGGGCAAAACTCTAAAAATCTAAATCTGATGCTTATGTAAGGGTTGAGCAAATTAGGGAGATTGCTAGCGGAATTCCTGGTAGAAATTGGAGGGAATCTGTTTTGCATCATTTGTCTAGGATCTATGCAAGTACATCTCTGCTAAAGGACCATAGGGAAGGGCCAGCCTTGCCTTTTTTTATATGATTTTGTTTACACTTTTTCTGAGATTTTAAATCTAGCTATAGAGTTGGGGGGGAAAAATATTTCCACTTATATATTTTATATGGTTATGTTTAAAATTACCATTACTTGTTTTTTAAAAACACGTGACCACATGTATATGTATATCTACCTAAACATTGTATCATGGTTTCAGTGTGTTATTCATGTATTACTGGGAGATGCTAACAAGAAACCAACCCAAAGAAAATCCTGAAAGATGCATTTCTATTTATAAAATAAATGTTTCATTTATATAAAAGAAAAAGAACTTAAGAGTTCTAATAAATGGGATGTCTAATAAATTATGAAATTACTGATTTGAATATATTATATTTTTATAACTTCCTTGCCAAAGTCCTAGATTTAGTACATTAGAGAATGTGTTTCCTCTCTCCTTTACCATTAATCTGTCTTCCATACAGTCATTTGGGCTTTTTACTCAAAGAGAATAAAAAAATAGTAAGGTGTAACAAGCTTGGCCAAGTGTTGGTTTAAAAAAAAAATTAATCTCTAGCATTTTGGTAATTGAGCAGCATCATTTATTTGGGATTCTTTGATCTGACTTCAACAGTGAAAAACATCCTTATGATAAAGCCAAATGACCCACTTGACAAAAGATGGAGTTTGCCCTTCCTAGAAAATGTGGCGAAGAAAAGTCTGACCCAAAGAAAGTGGGTCTGAATTTTATAAGGGGTAGTAAGAATTGGACAATTGCTTTATATATCTCAACTTTGCCGGTACCATTCTAAATTTGAAACAGAGTCAGAGCCCAAAGTTGCCATTCATCTGGAATAGAGATGTTTTAGTCTGTATTTTTTAAGTGAATGTTTCTTTAATACACCTACACCCTTTCTTTTAAAGTTTGCAACCTAATTGCATCTAAAACTTTGAATAAGTTCTGTGGTAAAATCTTAAACTATGGAAAATCACAAAAATGAATATTTTCTTCCCTGAAATCAGAGCTTACATGTGTATTTTTTCCGTAAAATTTCCAGATAAATGTATTCAATATGTAATACAGTATTTTAACATTCACCTATTATTTTATATTGAAATGTATTACAGTATTAAAACTCAGTGTTCAGTATTTATTTCACTATGCATTTTATTTAGTAAAAGCCAAGAAAAATGTTTAATAATCCAATGGTGCCTTACTTTGTGATTTAAAAGAAATCAACTTTTTTTATGTCTAAGTAGCAGATTGTTTGCGTATTTGTAAAAACTGTTAGGTCTTTATATTTTAAATTGTAATACCAGTTTTGTTTATTTTAGTAGCAGAAATGGGATATTGTTAAAGTTCCCCAAAAAATTTTGGCATGAAATTAATTTTTCCCTCCTTATAGTCAAGAACTGTAGAGGAAGAAAAAAAAATTTCATACCATGCACTATGTAAACAGACACATTTTGGTATCTGTGTCATCAGGATAATGTAAATGGTAGCATAGAGACTACCCTAGACATCTGGATCTTTGTAAGTTAGCCAGACAATAAATAAAAGCAGAACAATGTGGTGTCAACTGGTGGTTTTTCTTTTAAATACTGTTTATGTAAATATAAACCTAAAAAAAAACAAGTATCTCTTTTCTGTTTTATACTGTGGAAAAGAAAGACCAAAAAAAAGGTTTGTATGAGTAAGTAAATATTCATTGCACCTTATAGGTAAGGAACTATCTTATAGCAATAATATGTGCATTAAATGAGATAATGTACTCAATATTTAGCCTTAGCGTAAGCACACAATAAGGAGTAGCCACTATTAGTGTGAGATAGAAAACAAATATTTATATAATGATCCTAAATTAATTGGAGCCAAATCCACTAGAAGGGAATTTACTAGTGTACTTTTAAAGGAAAGGAGCTCTAGCTCCTAGATTGAAAAAATATCCATATCAGAAATGCAAAGCAACCTCTACACAAGGGTCATCTCACCTACTGTCCTCCCTGTACCCCCAGGCCTGAAAAATGAAATTTTACAGTGCTTCAGTCATCAAAGAAGTATTATTGGGTTCAATATGAAATGACAGAAATTAAGAGCCAGAAAGAACCTTACAGATAGGGCAACCTTAGAATTTATGATCCACAATGGAACATTTCTGAGAGTGGAAGGGGTGCTAATAATAGTTGCAGTGGCACAACAGGTATAAATCTGGGTTGCCTTGAAGGATTGGGCCATGTGGTCACCCCACTCAGAGGTCATCCAGTCCAACCATCTGTGCTCACAGTTGGGTAATTTAAGGCCCCAAATGTTGCACTGATGATGGACAAGCAGTGTCACTTCTCACTGTACTGTCCCATCTTCATAGTCCTTACTGCCTCTCTCTGTCACTGTTTCATGTGTCTTTCACATTGGCTGGAAGGAAAAGGCCAAGTGAGAGTTTACAGCGTCAGAGCAAAAGCCATGCACTCACAAACTTGCATTTGGATTCTGGCTCTGCCACTTGCTCCCTGCGAGGCCATAGACAAGTTATTTAAGTCCTCTGAGTTCTAGCTTCCTTGACTACAAAATGGCTACAAAGCTTAAATAATACACACCCAGAAGCTTTGTAGATGGTTTATTGAAAAATATATATTTTTTAAAATAAATAAGTAAATATGCAAACACCAAACAAGATACCTGGCATATGTTAGGTACTCAATGAAAATTAATTCCATTTCATTTTTTAATCCTTTTGCCACCAAACCTAGGCCATATTCATGGCAGAATTCTCAAACGCAGCCAAAGAAGTCTAACAAAATTCAGTTACAGAATCTTTAGGAATAAAAATTGCTTTCAAGTCTGGCCTCATTGGTTCAAAGTGGAATTATTTATTTGATTCACCCATTTAATAAATTTTTATCAAGCCCTTACTGTTGACCAGCTTCACCACAAATGACCTATTCATAACTGGATCCCCACCACGACTGTAGTGGTCAAGTGATTTCTGAGTGGCAGTTAAGGAGGCCAGCACCCATTCCAAACAGGCATGGACGCAACTTCAGCCACCCATGCCACAGAGGGCTTGCTACTGGGGTGAAGGCACATATTTCATATATTCTTACCCCCTTAAGTAATTTATTTGCTTTCTTTTTTTCTAATCTCAATGTCATGGTAAATAACACTGATTTTTTAAAAATTGTTAAACCTACAGGAACCTTGAAAGAAAAAACAGTATTTGGAAAGATTTTGGATGACCAGTAAGTTACATCTTTTGGGTTCAGATTAATTTGAAAAGTAAATTCAAGGATTCCAAGTTCCCTAAACATTCCAACTAATTGAAGGCTCCCTGGGTACCTAATAGTCTCCGGTTCCCTTCTCCCTTGTCTTCCCCACAGCCTCACTTCCCTCCAGCCTGAACACATGGCATTTAATGTCTATGTCTGGACTTACATTTAGCATGTATGTGTTTCTCTTACTGATAAATGTTAAGAAATGTCCCATCCATCAACATTATAGCACAAATACCTTTGTCTTAAAATATGGCTTCCATTATTATAGAGGTGCATTTACAAGAAGCTAATTCAGCTCAAGCTTTGGGATCCCCCACTTGCAAGGGGGTTGGCTTCTGTTTTATTATATTTTTTTATTTTAGAGGGTCTCACTGTGTCATCCAGGCTGGAGTACAGTGGCATGATCACAGTTCACTGCAGCCTCAGATTCCTGACCTCAAGCAGTCCTCCTGCCTCAGGCTCCTGAGTCACTGGGACTTACTACAAGTGCGCAACCATGCCTGGCTAATTTTTCTTTTTCTTTTTTTTTTTTTTTTTTTTTTGGTAAAGAGGAGTGATCTCACCATATTGCACAGGCTAGTCTCAAATTCCCGGCCTCAAGCGTCTCCCACCTCGGCCTCCTAAAGTGCAAGGATTACAGGTGTGAGACACTGCCTGGCTGGGGCTTCTAGTTAAGTACTCATTTTCATATCTAGTTTTTTATTTGTGATTTTATATTATTTTTCTTAAATAGGACACCTTATATTGTCTAAAGCTTCAGACCTCACAAAACCTGGACCTGCCCTGGCAATTCTGCCTTGCTCAGCTTCTGGTGGAGAACTCAACCAAAGTGAATGTCTTAAAAACGTTAAGCCATCAGCTTCCCGTGAGTGACAGATACAAGAGAGCCAAAGTGTTTGCCTCCTTTGTCCTCCCTGAGTGACTTGTAAATGTCTCTAAAATAACGTGGTCATTGCATTGCCCACATTGCATTAGAGTCAAAAGCCCCAGAACGTGCCCTATCTAGGAAAATAATTTGAACTTTGAGGTACCTGGAAAACAAGCCCAGCTGTTATTAGACGTTGAGCTCAAATTCAGCTTAAGTTTTGGCCAGGAGGATGCCTGCCAGAACTCCTGGAATATCCATCATGGACTTAACATAAATATATTTTAGTCATAGGGGCTCCCACCCTTTTCCTGTTTTCTGTCTGCCTTGGTAAGTTAAAGGTCACCCATCAAAATGCTATCTATTTCAGATCGGTTCCAAAAACAAATAGCAGCAAATAATTGGGAAAACCTACATGATTTAATGTACTATGTATACTCTGATATTTATTTGTACATTTTTACTTATTCAAATCATCAACAAACTGGTTGAAGAACTATAGTTTATTAAGCACTAGCAATATAAAGACATACATGATACAACAGGAAGTTTTTAAGTACTAGTCCCAGAACCAAGTATAAGATTAAATTCTAGATCTAACAAAAACTTCAGCCAGTAGGTACAACCCAACCCCACCCTACCACTGGTTCTGGAATGCTCTTCACCACAGACATAGGGCTGTTTGGTTGGCTGTGTGCACGCAAGGAAAATTCCAGCTTATGCTTGCTCCTTCGAGATTTACTCTTGGAGCAAAAGCATGGACAGTCCCAAAGGAGGCCACCGTGGGGAAAATGAAAAGCATCTAACACAATAATGAAAACAGTAATTTTATACCATCAAGACACGCTACCATGGCCAGGCACAGTGGCTCCCACCTGTATTCCCAAGACTTTGGGAGACTGAGGTGGGACGATTGCTTGAACTCAGGAATTAAAGACCAGCCTGGGCAGCATAGCCAGAACCTGTCTCAAATAAATTTTTAAAATTAGCTGGGCGTAATGGCATGGTGCCAGTAGTCCTAGCTACTCCGGGGGCTGAAGCAGGAGGATCACTTGAATCCAGGAGTTTGAGGATGCAATGAGTTATGATTCTGCCACCGCACTCCAGCCTGGGTGCCAGAGACCCCATCTCTTAAAACAATAAAATTTTTTAAAAAAGAAGACATTCTGCCTAGTTTATATATCTAAATAATCTTTCTTTTTCATATAACCAGCATCAATTATTGATTCCCAACTGTGTACTATACAATTTGAGCTAGGCCCTTCACAAATATTATTGCCAATCTTTGTGTCTTTACACATAGGGAAATCAAAGCCTGAGTGGATTAGAAATTTGCACCAAGCCACTTGCCTTGAGTGGATTGAGAATTCAAAATCAAAGCTCCTGGATCGAATTTGAATGAGGAGTCAGATCATTGTCAACTTTTCATTTGTCAGTTTAAAAAAATACCAACATTTCGTATCAGTAAGAACCTTTTAATGAGCCAAGACAATGGAAGACCTCATTTGAGAATGAGATAGTTGACTCAACTGAGTAAACATAGCTTCGTGGAAAGCTCCATTGTCCTCACTTTCTTCACTGCTTCTTGGATGTCATCTAACTTCCTTTGGTTCTTTGCAGTTTAGAGGGTGGTTATAATCCCTCCCTTGAAGTCTACATAAATTTGCTTTTCAGTCCATCTTATCAGATACCTGCTACCTTTTAGGTGATCTCCAAGGAGCCAGTAAAATTCAGATGTCATTTCTTTAAGCAGTTACAGGTTGTGGGAAATCCCCATGTCAGAATCGAACTGCCGTGTGCCTAGTTAACTTGCTTTCCTGTGAATCTCTATTCCTTTGTACTGTTCATTATTTATAGCATATTTCTACCGTTCCCATCATAAATGTGTAGTATTAAATTTCTTTTTTACTCTCCTTGGAGCTGGAAAAGTCATGTGTCTCTTTTAAATACCAAATAATAGGATTTGCTGTTCAGTAAGAGCCGGAAGTAAACCTTGTGTTCTTTGCGTCATGCTACCTAACACTCAGTAGAGCAAAAAGACAGTCATATTCAACAAAACGGACAAAAAGTGGCTCCACAGTTTTCAGGCATTTTTACATACCTTATGTCATTTGTACGCCACAGCAGCCCTCAGAAGGAGGAAGGAGGAGGAAACTGCTCCCCATGTCACAGGTGCAGGGCTAAGGCCTGAGAGAGGAAGTAACTTAATCAAGGCCCCACAGCTGTTGGGCTTACGGGCCAAGACTAAACCCCTCTCTGACTCTTTCAGTCACATTCTTTTCGTTGCATTTTTTGTCCTGATTGTCTTCATTTATTTAACAAATATTATTGAGCATCTTCTCACAACAGAGATGGCTGGGGATATGCAGGTCAGTACTGCAGAATGCCTGTGTCTCTGGAAGCCTGTGGTCTTTGGGCAGGGCTGAGGAAC